CTACTACTACGTGTCCATGTCATTGGTTCGACAGCCCATTGGTTCGACATCCCATTAGTCCGACTGTCCGCGGTGCTGAACAGCTCACGGCGGGCGTATGGTGCACCGCGACCGGCTTGAGGCGGAGCAGGCTCACGGCTTATGTGTTTGCCACTTTCTTTTTCATTTTAACCCACACCATGATCTTTTCCTGACCCTAACCAAGTGGTTTTTGTGCCTAAACCTAACCAGACCTTAACCACAGGGCGTCATGATGATTTCGGAACGGACTTCGGAACAATGAGTTTAATATGGTCGGAACAATGGGATGTCGAACCAATGGGCTGTCGAACCAATGGGCAGTTCCCTACTACAACAACAAATATGCTTGCTACAACTATTACAAGTCAAAATGCTAACACTACTACCTCTACTACCATTACTTCCTCTAGTACTGCAACTATTTGTACAAATATAACCATTTCTTCTACTACTAGTACGAGTCAAACTACTAACACTACTAGGCCACTGCTACTTCCATGGCTTCCTCTACTACCTACATCAGTCATTCGTACATCAACACTAGGCCTACTACGTACTTCTGGAATTACTACCATAAGTACTAGTATCACTTTCTCTACTTCTGCAAGTCCAAGGGCTAACACTACTAGCTTTATTACCATTACTTCCTCTAGTACTCCTACTCTTCAATTTACAACCCTACTGCTACCACTTTTACCACTTCCATGATTACTAATATCACTTTAACAACTATGGCAAGTCCAACTGTTAACACTACCTCTACCTCCATTATTACAACTACTTCTTTCATCATTAGTGTTAATATCATACTGCTACTACTACTACTAGTGCTAGCATGACTACTACTAATACCAGTGAAATTACTTTGGGAGCTTGAGTTATTGCTGTAGACAAGGTTAGACAAGCAGTCATGATTTTGAATGGGAGGGCCCTGAGCTGTACTTCTGGGGCTTCAGCCCACTTGCACCTAAGCGTAGGCACTGTTCTTACTACTGCTCATCCTCTTCCTCTTCCTCCTGTCACTGTGACTCACTTGTTGCAGAACAATTTAAAAAAACGGATGTGTCATTCTCACCACATCTTTGTGTCTAGTTTGTAACTGCATACGCTTCACTACAAAACATTTTAGTGTCAACATTTGTTGTTATTGACAGCCAAGGTTGTAGAGAAGAAAACAAAACAAGAACTCGGTGGACAGCTATAAAAACTGGATGAGTCAGGTGGTCTCGTCATCCACTTCACCCTCAAAGGAAACAAATGCTTTCCCTTCCTGTTTCTGTTTGCACTCATCTTTCTTTTCAGTGAAAAATCCAATTTTTCTGCATTAACAGTCCTTTCATGACTAATTTTATGAGCACACATCCATCTGGAGTTCATCCTCATGTAGAGGCGTATACATATCATGGGTGTATAAATAGAGTGCCATCTTTACAGTAGCACAAACAGACAAATTCCTTTGGTTTGCTCCTGGGTGTGTTTGTCTGCCATTCTCGGTAGAGTGTCAGTCCCATGGGGGGAAACAGACAGATAGGGCACATCCTGTGGACCGCTGGAACCGACCTGGTGGAGGAGGACTGGATGGGCGGAGTGGTGGAGAGGCGGAGTGGGTAGTGCACCACAGATGTGAGCCTTGAGATAAGAGGGAAAAGCTTTCGTAACAGGATAATGGCTTCCTGTTTGAATGCTCCGCAAATTGTTTGTCGGGTTACAGCGGCTTTGAACAGAGACGCGTTTATCTAAGAATCAGGCAGACAGAGAATGCAAAAACAAGAACAACAAAGACTCCTTGTGCTGTTTACTGGGATAATGATTTAGCTGCCGCGACTGACAGCAGCAAAGGATCTAACAGGAAGGAGAAATGTTAAACAGGAAGTTGTCTGGAATCTGGAGAGAACACTGAATTGCTGCCTGCAGTTAAACAACTGCATTAAAGTCACAGACACTGCCAATATTTTCCACAGGATTTCAACATTTTTACTGTTGTTGGCAGATTTAAGAAGACCACAACTGTTGCAACAACACAGTTAAACCCTACGAGACAAGACAAAGTCAGATTGGGAGGATTACTCAAGCCTTGTGTACCCATTTACACTTCACACCAACTGGTCTTTCAAGAAGCTGGCTTCAAAACACAATTTGCAAGCAATTCCCTTACTTGTCAAGCTTTGCTTTCAAGATTGAGCTGCCAGACAGAACCTAATTTGTTAGAAACAAATAAGTTCTCTCCATTGTTTCAGGTGTATTATGTCACTGCAATATGCTCGCAAGAAGGCTACATAGAGAGCACTGACAGGAGAACAAAAACAACACAGAGGGAGACTAAAGGAAAACTCTTCCTGTACTGACACCTGTCATGATGCGGGATCATCCATCTCAGTTCTCTTTTATCTGAAGCATCTCTTCTCTTGCCTGCTGACTACAGATGTTAAAGGGACAGTTTGGATTTTTTGAAGTGGGGTTGTATGAGATACTTAGCTACAGTCAGGGTATTACCTACAGAACATGGCAGTCTGCAAGCTCCTAGTTTAGAGTAATAGGCAGGAGTAATGCCACGGAAGCTAAGCAATGTACTGCTGTGTTGGTGGCAGCAAAAAAAAACAACAACTTTTTAGCCACCTAAAAACCCCTGAATATCAGTTTAAGTGTACACTTTATTTAGAATATTTTCACTGCATTACCTTGCTGTCAGACAGCTCTTTCTGACAGGGAACTGAGCTGAAACTAATGGCCCTGACACACCAAGCTGACAACTGGCTGTCGGTCAACTCCCATGCTCTGTGAGGTAAAAATGCTGTTTTTTTTTTTCAATAGAGTTTGGTGGCTCTGACAGCGTCTGCTCCTTCATGTCAAAAGGGGTCAGCTGAGGTGATTCGGCATCTGATTAGGATGCTCCCTGGGTGCCTTCCATTAGAAGTGTTATGGGCACATGCCATTGGTAGGAAGCCCTGGGATGGACCCAGAACATGCTGGAGGGATTACATATCTCATCTGGCCTGGGAACGCCTTGGGGTCTCCTGGGAGGAGCTGGAAGGCGTTGCTGGGGAGAGGGACGTCAGGGTGCTTTGCTTGGCATACTGCCCCGAGGACCCAGCTTCGGATAAGTGGATGAAAATAGATGGAAACGGATGAATGGCTTTGAGGAGGGAAAAATTATGTTTCAGTTCAGTGTCCTGTCAGAGAGGACTGTCTGACACTATCTGGCAAAGCCGTGAAAATATTCTAAATATAGAGTATATTTAAACAGATATTGATTTTCTTTTTAGGCAGGCTTTTTGTAACCTGGGCATACACTGTTTTATTTGAGCCTGTTTTAGAAATGTTGATGTTCATTTCCAACTCCCATGGTGCAAGAAAATTATCTATGATGTGAAGCCAAACCTAACAATTTATGTGCTCACACTGTGCGGTCCAATTGTAAATCCAAGAGATGAGTGCTCACACTGTACATGTAAATAGATAATAAAACAGTCTGTTGGCCCCTGTGGACTCTTCTCGCTATTGACAATTGTCAATAAAGATTAGTTTGGAAGCTGTGTGGCAGGTAGAAGTTTGTTTATTAGCAGAGGTACGGTTTACAACGTGGAGACAGATGTCTCAAAAGCAGCTTAAAAGTTGATTTCTGCAAAATTCTCTGTCTCTTTCTCTCACACATATGCACACACACAAAATTAAGCATGTAAGAAGCATCAATAAACTGGTTGGGTGTACACTGCGCAGTTGAGTCGGGAAAAAAGGCACTGACCTCGGGGAATCGACTCGTGACTCTGCTTCAACTGTGTGAGAGCCTGATGACGACCAACCAAAATGTCAAAAATTCACCCAAACATCTGACAGCAGTCCAGGAGCAGTTGATCAGGCCATGTTTGGTCCTCCTCACTACCCCATGTACACTACGTGGCAAATGACGCTGAATGAAGCTGAAAGTCGGTCCAGCTCTTAAATGAGTCGTGCAGCTTAAAAATCAGATGTAAAAGGGGCTTACATGCTCAGCTTCAGGTGGCAAAAATTTGTTTTGCTGCTGCTTACTCCTGTCTCTTACTCCAAACTCGGGGCGTGCAGACCGCAGTCTACTGTAGGTAATACACTGACTATGGATAAGTACCTCACACAACCCAACTTCCAAAAATCCAATCCATCCCTTTAAGGCACATCTGTCTCCTGTAGATGGCTGGTACAAAGAGAGAAATGAGAAATGTCTCTGTATAGCACAGAGACAGAGATCTCAGGTGGGCTTTTCAGCTTTGCACACTGTAAAGAGGAAACCCTGATGGAAGCGTAATGTGCCCGAGGAAACTCAGGCCTCGGCTGGATCTCCAACTGAACACAAAAAAGAACGATATGCTTTTAAAGACTAGATCTACCTGGACTAATTAAAAAAAAAGGCTCTGAAATATGGTCTTAATATAAAGTTAACACAAAGCTAGTCTGCAGCTTCAATTCCGACTTCCTCTTTTCAGATTTAACTGCTGCAAAGTGACCTCGCTCCACCTTTGCTATAGCTTAAAGCACTTCGCTCACAACAGTCCAGTCTGAGTTTATCACTTCTGAGGGATTGAGGCAGATTTGTCAGAGACAGCCTTTGGCTCCGGTGCCCTGAGGTGGAGCTTCGGGGTGCATACCAGATATCATCAGCCTGTTTGGCTAACCGTCCGGGAGCCTGGTGGGTCCCAGTCTGACCTCCATGTTCCATATTCATGTGACATTCTGCTCTGGTAGCCTGCCAGAGCTGTGTACAGAGCCTTGATCCTGTCCTCTGAATTTAGTGCAGCACAGACTCCAACTAGAACAAGAACTAAGGGGATACAGCACTTATCTGATATCTACAGGTTCCCTGGAGGCATCATCAGGGTCTCCAAGAATATTTTTTTCATTCGCACACAACAGACCGCCGAGAGTGCAGCAAGACTTGTGGTTAGAAAAAGCATCACCCTGTTTGCACACCCAGGACACCCCTCGCCTCTCCCCTTGGGTGTACTCACTCAGCAGCTGGCAGCGCAGGACCTGCAGGCTTGTCTTCATGGTATCATGTGATCCGGTTCCTCCTCCACAGTGCTCATGGTTCTCTAGTATACAGAGAGAGGGAGAGAAAGAAAGGCAGGTAAGGTGAAACTCCCTCGTATCAAAATCACATTCAAGTCATGGTCAAGTATCAGAGTGATATACTGTGATTATGTCTGGGTAGGTTTAAGTAGAGTAGACACGGAAAAGTATGAAGGGATTGCAGATAAGATTGTGTGGCTTAACCTTGACAGTTTAATCCTTGTAATGACTGCCAGAAAACAGTTACACCCCTCACAGCGGATCATATGAACTACAGCCCAACTAACAATTCACAATAAAAGACCAGGTAGCGCTGCGGCGGTGGTCAGCCTCAGCTGCCCGGCTTCAAATCAGCATTGGCATCCTGCAGGCTGTGCTGGTCAGTAAAACCAATTATGGAGCATTAAACATTGAGCAGTGAGTCTTGTTCTGAGACAGCCGCTGCGTGTGTGTCAGCCACACAAGTACCCAAGGGTGCTCTTTAGGAGAATGACTCACTGATGGCCTTCTGTTAAATGAAAGACCCCCCACCCACACACACACACACACACAAATCTCCTTTTACCCCCAGAGCAGTGCATGTGTGTGTTTGCCTCCCTTTGTGGAAGTGCCCTTGAGCAACAAGCGTGCCCACATCACTCATTCACACAAACCACGTAAACAGACACATGCTTCTAAAGAAGTGTATTCGAACACACACACCTAAGCACCCTTCACCCTACCTGCATGAATAATCTGTTGTGAGTGTGACATGTGAAATTGGATTTGCGCCCCCCAGGATGAGAGGTCCGGTATCAGACAACCTGTGTTTCTGTGGGAGACGTGTGAGATGAGAGGGACCGACAACAAAAGCACAGGGTGGTAGGGTGCTGATCATTTCATAAGGTTTTATTCCTCATAAATGGAGCCCCTCTCTGGAGGCTGAGGACACACACACTGCATCTGAGTCATCCTGTTTATGTTGCTGCCATTACGGCAAACTTTTAATGCTTGTAAACTGTGTGGAGCTATAAATCTGAACGAGTTTTTTGTGATTTTTTGAAAGAATTGTTGAGTAAGGACGAGACATGCCCGAGCATGAAAAAGAAAATGCTGAGCAACATAGCTGATATCAAATGTGATAAATGTCCATATTCATGTATAACAGTAAATATGTTGACAAGTAGTCACCCACAGTATTGGCTTGTGTTTGTCCCCAAGTAGCCAAAATGACCTGGCCCAGCATCGGCCCAAATTTGGCACACTGCAAGAAATAAGTTGGGCCGTGTCCAGTTGCCTGACTCAGCTGAGACTCAGCATGAATGATGTCCGAGTATCGGGCCAAATAAACTGTCCCAATTTTGGCTGCCAACACTGCCATCACTTGGTTGTTGTCAAAAATGACGAGGCCAAGCATTGGCCCAAACTTGGCAGGCTGAAAGAATTATGTTGCACCACATGCGGCTGCCCGACTCAGCTGAGACTAGACATGAATGACGCCCAAGAATCGGGCCAAACAAACTAGCCCGATTGCAGCTGCCAACACGACCATCACTGAGCCGTTGTCAAAAATGACCTGGCCCAGCATTGGCTTGTACATGGCACGCCGGAAGAATTAAGTCGGGCTGTGTCTGGTTGCCTGACTCGGCTGAGATTCGGCATGAATGATGCCCCAGAATCAACCAAATAAACTGGCCCCATTCCAAGCTGCCGACACTGTCATTACTGGGTCTGGATGTTGTCTGGCAAGTTTTGCTTACCTTGTTATTAAAATAGCTTAGTGTCCATGAGACTCGTGGGAACAACAATTTTTGATATTGGTCCAGTATTGAGCAAGAGGGCTGCAGCCAGCAACGTTGAAACAGGCTATGATGTAACCACTAGGGGCAGGTGCGCCCAAAGAATTTACGCAAGTATAAGTGTCTGACATTATAGAAAGGAACCTTCAGAAAAATGAAATGTTTGTCTGCATCTTTCGCATCTGTTTTGTTTCCAAGTCTCACTAAAGAAGAAGTCACTCATTCTGAAATCTCACAGACTTTCTCACATTGTCAAAACCAGGTAAATATTCAGCCAGTCTTTTAGATCAGAGTAAGATATGCTTTCTGTACTTCATCACAACAAAATATTACCGGCACTCCTTTCTCCACCTATCATTTACATTTCCGCCATCTTCTTCCTGCAACAAATCACCTCTCTTGAGATTTTAGAACGAGGCATCTCCTTTGGTGAGACTTGTAAACGAACAGCCTGGAACAAGCAAAAGGTGACGAAAAACGTTTGATTTCTCTGTAGGGTCCTTTTGGTAGTGTCAGACACTTAGAATAACAATCTGAGCCTAAGAGTGGCAAAAACAAGCACTTTAAGTGGACGTAAATTCACAACGTGCGGCTACCCCAAGTAGTTCCATTGTAGCCTGTTTTACAGCTGCTGGCTGCAGCCCTCTCATTTAATACTGAACCAATTTTAAAAATGTTGTTCCCATAAGTCACTTGGACACAAAAAATGGGCAATAGGGTCCAAGTTACAAAATACTGGAGTGCCTTTTTAAGAGTATACCTACCTACTTATGCCATGCTAGCTGCACAACACAACATGGCTCGAAATTTGTATGGATTTATGGTGTGTTTGCCTCTTAACAAGAAAAAATCAAAGCTTAAAAAAATGGCCACAGATTTGTATCAAATAGTAGTTTGGAAAAACACTCCTCTATGTCTCCCTCTGTCTCCACTCTCCTATTAGAAATAAAGCATAAAATAAATGAAAACAATAATGTAAAATAAGCAACTAAATTGGTTATCAAGGCTTTTAGATGACATATGCACACAATTTTGTTCTTGTTCCAAGTGTTTAGAAAATGAAAACAGAGATCCTCGCTGCTCCGCCGCTCTTAACTCACAGCTTTGACTATAATGGCGTGGGCTCAGACGCAATATAGTGCGAGTAATTGCAAAAGAGATGAGGCTGCAAGAATACAGTCTTAGCGGCAGAAAATGAGTTTTCCCAGCCTCACATCTGAAGAAATGACACGGGCTGCAGCCATCCCAAACCCATCATTGCATCCATTCATAGCCACACCATAATGCTGCAGTGACAGCAGCTCCATTGCAGCTTTACCTCCTTCCTTGTGCTTTAATTTTTTTGAGCATCATGTTCCTGGCCTAATGAGCTCAATGGCAGGGTGTGAAGAGAGCAGCTGAGCCTCTCCACGGTGATTACACCTCATCAGCGCTGCCAAGCCAGCTCAGCCTCATAGACACGCTCTTTAATTTGCAGGGCACAAGGGGTGAGGCTAGGGGAAGGTAGGGAGGGGGAAAGTAGAGATAGTGGCAGGGTGTGTTTGATTTATACGTGTTATCACAGAGCAGAGCAAGGTTTTGGTTGAGAAAGGAGGACAAGCTGCATGGACAAAAGACAGGCTGCGTAGGCCTCCTGCAGGGAAGCTGAATCATAGTTCAGCTCGGCACACGTGCAGGTAAAAGATAATATGAGATGACAGTCAGGGTCGCGGCACTACCAAAACCTCAGACAGGATTAGAGGTGGCAGCTGCTGACAGTTGTGTTGCTGTAACGCTTAACATTCACCCACCAACGCAGAAACCTCCAGTACCTTGGACTTGTTAGAAGGGAAGCTGGTGAGGGATCACGTCCTTGTTGCTGCACAAGGGATTCCTGCTGGGTGGATGGAGGCAGAGTACAGCTGTTCACACAGACACTGCTGCTACATTACGAAACGCAGCCCCCTCATTCACTGCAATGAGACCACTGTGTGGGTGCAGCAGGGATGCCGACACACAAAAGGCTCTGTCAAAAAAATGCAGAGTTCTCACGCAAGATTAAACATTAACCCTGGCTCAATTTCATACTTTTTTCAACCTCTCTAATAAGCTCTCAACCTCAGGGATGTATTCCTCCAACAAGACTTCAAGGATCATATTTTATCGTCTCTACCTGAAGAACATGTTGCAGGGATTACTTTTTCAGGGTTAGTACAGACAAGGGTGAGTTAGATTCAAGGACTTTCAAGTTCTTTTTCAAGCACTTGTATTTTCAAAGACAAAGTGTTCTCTCCACAACCATCTGTTGCAAGAATTGTGTACAAAGGACAGCACATGCTGCAGCAAACTATTAACCTCCTCAAGTGGAGTCCTGTGGGGATCGACAGATGAAAAATCCAGCGGTGGCTTGCTCTAGCTACATGCTGCTACTGTGATTCAGTGGTTAACAAGCAGAGGTAGCTGCTAATAGCCACTGCTGCAATTCACAAACTCCACAAATCCATTCAACATTCACAATCACACGGCTGCTTATTCACTGCTGAATTATAGCTAAAAACGGCTGATGCTGTTCTTGTGGAAGTTTTGCAGGGTAGTAACATAGCCTGTCACCAACTATTTACTTGTTCAAACCGCTCATACAGCATAAGAAAATAATTGCAAGCTTCCTAGTTTAGAAAATTTTTCTAATACGATTCAGAAAATCTTTGATAATTTTGTTCTCTTCAGTTTCATTCAAGTGCTTATTTCAAGGACCAAGTAAAAATTGTCTGATTGTTAAGGTATTCAAGGACTTAAATTTCTTTGTGTCAAATTTGAGCACCTCCAGAACCTTGTACAAATTCTGTTCATTTGTAGGCCATCCCAGAAGTTACCGTTGCCCTGGTTCCCTCGTCAAAAATCCAGTGGGATTTTTACTTTGAGTTTTGGATTACTGCAGAAAGTAAGCTCTGTGACAAACAAAAGTGAACTATACCTACAAGTTTTGTTCAGCAAGCCACTTTTGTGATTTTAAGGCGTAAATTCAATCCCTGGATGTAAAAAGCTAACGTTAGGCTGTAAATAAACTACATCACGGTTGTATGACTTCAACGTCAACCCCACAACAAAGCTATTTAGGTGGTGTTCAGCATGATAACGTTTGATGTCCCTGACAACATCTGTAGTCTCATTTACTGCAGCCATCTTTTTTAAGACATGTAAAAGGTTCAAAATTTACAGTGGGGTATTTACCTATGTATTCCACATCGAACAAAACCAGAATATCT